CCCCCCCAACTGCTCTGCCGCAGGCGTCCCCGATCCAGCCACTGCTGAAACTGACCAGCAGTGGCTGAATCAGGGACGCTGGGGGCAGAGCCGGACTATCGGAAGGGGGGGCTATGAGGGGTCTGGGGTGGCATCCGCCCCACCCCACCCCAGACCCTTCATAGCCCCCCCTTCTGATAGTCCAGCATATCTGATAATCCGGCACCCCCTGGGTACTAAAGGTGCCAGATTATCAGAAGTTTACTGTAATAACATTGCGAAGTTATATAGTAAGTTTCAAACACATACAAGTAATGCACAACAGAGGCATAAACCATTTAATATTGCCTTTTAAGTGTGTGTCACAGTTTTTATTTTTTAAAGTTTTTAACAACTTCACCTGGCGTTGCAGTGTGTTTGTATTCAAGCTTGTGCTGTGGATTCTTCCTGCAAAAAATTAAAAAACAATGCAATATGATCATTTCCTGCCTTTGCATTCCACATGTCATCATTCAAGAATTATTCATTGCACAATGGAAGTAATCATCAAACTTCTGGGAATGTGAATGAAATCAAAATGCATCACTATGTAGTTTCAAATTACTTATTTGCTGCTCTTTTAATATAATTATAAAAAGAAACAGCTCCTCCAAACCTTTTCTTTTGAAATAAACATAACTGATGATAGCTTTCTAAAATTAGTCTTGTATGTATTTATCTACAGCACATAGAACGCATCTACATAGTGGTGCTAGCTGAAAATAAACTATACAATCTGAGCTACTCAAATTGTGTAGCTTATTTCAATATAGTCTATTTTTAAATTTGGCACCTTTACAACCTTTAACTTGAAAGAAAAAGGGGTCAGACAGCTTGTATGATCCATCGAGACCCATTTCACTATCCCAGAGCAGTGTTTCACAATTTTATTTGGCCTAGGAACCCTTTTCAGTCTTTCAGAATTTCAAGGAACCCTTAGGTTTGTCAAGGAACAAGAAAAAAGAAAAAAGAAAAAAGAAAAGAAAGGAAAGGAAAGGAAAGGAAAGGAAAGGAAGGGGGGGGCGCTGCTGGTCCCTCCCCTGCAGGTGTCTGCCCTTCTGCTTCATCCCCAGAATCCCCTGGCACTTGCACCTTCTCTTACTCCTGCACCCTCCTGTTGCCTCCCCCTTCCCTCACTGCCCCTACCTCCTTTGCCCTCTTTCTCTGATGCCCACCCCCTCACCACCCGTTCCCCTCATGCCCCTGTGCCCTCACATATGACTTGCTCCATCCCAGCCTTCCTTATGCCCACCCCTTCTTTCAAGCCTTCTCCCAGCACCTCCATCCTCTAGCCCTCAATGCCCTTACCCTCTCCCCTTCCCCCTCCCACGGACACCTCCCCTCCTGTCTTTTTCCTCATTGTCTGCATTTGGCCCCCTGGCATTTGTCTCTCCTCTACCCTGTCCCTTTGGTGCCTTCTCCTCTCTTCCCCCTCTGCACAAGCCCCTTCCTCTCCCAGCTTCCTCTTCCTTCCCCTTCCCCTACCTTCTGCCTTCCACTTTGTGGGGCTGGAGTCTGCACTCCATCCCCAGACTCGGAACCTGCAACTCAGCTGTGTGGTGCAACACAGCGTCCAGCAGTTTTAAAATCCCGAGCTGTGACGTTACGTCACGCCCGGACGTCTCCCCGCCCACCGGTTTGAGCACGCCACACAGGGCAGCAGCAGCTGGCAAGGGGGAGCTCAGTGAAGGTTGTGCACGGCAGGGATGGGACAAGACAGGGGTTGGGGATGAGGGAGACACGCTCTGGGGCCTGGGTGGGAGGACACTCAGGGGGCCGGGGCCCGCTCCAGCTCCAAATATTGGTGGAGCATGGGCACTACGAGCCCATATAACTCGCTGCCCATGCCTCTGCTGGCTAGCCAGCTCTCTCTCTCTCTCTTTCAGAAGGGGTGGGGGAGTGCCGGCTCCTCGCGGAATCCCTCATTTTGCTTCACGGAACCCTAGGGTTCCCCGGAGCACCAATTGGGAAACACTGTCCCAGAGGCTTCTTAGAGAAGGCATGAATGCCATGGGAGCAGATTAGCCCTTGTCACAATAAGCATCCTAGCAGGAGGAAAAAAGTATAAAAGAGGGGCAGTGACATCAATAGGCTTCTTTCCCACCCATCTCAACACCTGGAAAAATATCTGGAAGACAAAGACTTTGAACTGGGGAAGATTGGTCCAATCTGCATTGAGGAACTAAGACACACTGCTTGATTCAAATCTTGTTTAATCTGCTTTTGTTAGAAACAAAAATAAATTTGCAGTCTGAATTCTTAGATAAACTGCTCTCTGGGCCTGCTACTTACAGTGATTTGAAATCTATTTTACCTAAAATATCATGTTCTTGGTTGAAGTTCTTGGGAAATCTCAGTTCCGATTACAAAGAGGATTATGTCCATTTCCACACCAAGGGAGTGGTGAACCAATTACTGAATTTGCGCTGCCCGAAGGAGCAGTACAAGACAGCCTAGTTCTGGGGTTTATGGCTGGAGCTGGCAGAAAATTAACTGGAGCCTCTCCTCTATTGGTGGTTCAGGAACAGCTGGGTAATCAGTCATGTAACTCAGTTTGGTGCACCTTCAGGAAGTGCATTCAAAAATCCCCCATAAGGTGGATTTGAACTCTGAAAACTGACTCTAAAAACTATCACAGGCTTTATGTTTATGATCTGTCAGATGTCTATGTAATATGCTCCATTTACAAGTAATAATAATTTTTGTCTCAAGAATCAGCCAAGCAAGCACCCAAGATAGGTTTGTATATGTTTGTTTTTTCTAATCACCAGCAATATACCTCTTGAAGTCAATGGGACCCCTCATGTTTGTGTACTATGCTGGATCAGAGCTAGAGTACTTTGCTAATTAAGGATCATTCCTGCATGAGGCTAACAAACCCTAAGAATTATATTTTGTTCAGAATTTAATTTCACAGCAGTGCTCTCAACTTTCTCTTGAGGTTGTTTTCAAATCCCATTAACATCAATAAGAAATAATTTAGAGAGTTAATAACAGAGATCAATGAAAAGGAGGAAGAAAATGGTTCGTTAGTTCTATGTAGAAATATGGTCGTAGTTAAAAAACACCACCTGCCACTTCAAGAAAAAAAAATGAAGATTAATTTTCTTCCCTTCCATTTTAAATCTTTGGCTAACCTTAGTGGTCTTTATAGTAGCTGTGACAAAGGCCAATTATTTGCTCCACATGCACACCGAGAAACAAGAAAAATAAAGAGTGGCAATCTCATGCAATTGACTGGAATTTTTAATACAAGTTCCACAAAGCTTTTTCATAACCCATAAAAATTCTGCCACCAAAAAAACCCAAACACACGCACACAAAAAATGCAAAGAGCAGGCAGATCCTGAAAGCCTGCACCATAAATCAGAAGGGATCTTGTACTTAGACAACAGTGTTTACCTTTAATAACAAAATTAAAACAGTGTGAAGCTACGAAGTATGCAATAAATTATATCTAGCCTATAGCAAAAATGAGACACACACAACTAGCATACAGTTTAAAACAGCATATTCTCTAAGTACATTTTTGAAAACAGCAACTTTTCATTAAGTCTATTTAATACAGTACATTTGATTTACAGTCTATAATTATAGTTTCTAAAGTTCTTTCATCAGTATCCCTAAACCAACAACGTAACCCTGACCACCTCACTGAATTTATTGGCAAGAGACACTTTTCAGTGATTTTAATGGCCTTTGGATCAGGTCTATAATTCTGACAGCTAAACTGTTGACTTCCATGGTAGAGACCTCAGAACTCTCATGAGATTCAGCATGTGGGGTTTGCAGGGAATGCTTCCCGCTGGAGGAAGGGATTACAAGGACCTCCAGAACCAGAGGATTGGAAGAGCAAAAAGGTCTAAACCCCGAGATCTTGGGGTCTCCTTGAGCTTTACTCATTTGTTCTGCTCCCGCAAAACACCCTCTTATAGGAACTATATTGTACTGTCAGCCAATGCAGTGGATCCTAGTCATTAACAGAGCCTGCCTTTGGGAAAAAGACTAACGGCCTAAGGACAATAGACCATTTGTGTGAAATTATGGGAAAGGAGGGTTAATTTTGCTAACTAGAAACCTGTTAAGAGAATAAGTCGATTTTGACTTGTTTTGGCAACTTGGATTTCTATGGATAGTCTGTGAACCTATTTACAGACGACATTGCCTGGACTACATACATGCATACATTCTCCAGATAAGACAAAGTCCTGAGGCGTATGAGGGTTTTGGAGGCAGGGCTCCTGGATTGCATGATAACCATGGAAAGTGCCATGACAAAGAAACTCTGGGTGTGGGGGCTTTTCTCCCCTCCCGTTTGTTGGTGTCTGCACCTTTTCTTATTTTCTGCTTAACGCTGCAGATCCAGTGTGTGAAAAGAAGTTACTCACACTGTGCAGTAACAATGTTTCTTCAACATGTGTCCCTGTGAGTGCTCCACTGTTGGTATCGGGCTCGTACTGGTACTGCGGGTCGGAGATTTTCCATAGTCGTAGTCAGCCAGAACGCGCCTGCATGATTAGCGTCTCGCGCCGTTTGCGCCCTTCGATCATATGCGGTCCAGCTCCCGCCAGTTCCTTTCACTGCTTGGATATCTGCAATGAAAAAAAGACAGAGCTCCGGAGCGGGGAGAAGGGCGGGACATGGAGCACCCACGGGGACACATCTCGAAAAAACATCATTACTGCATGGAGTAACTTCTTCAAGTTGTCCCTGTGGGTGCTCCACTGTTGGTGACTACACAGCAGTACTCAGATGCACTCTGGAGCTAGGTTTGACACTAACGGATAGCGCTGCTGAAGCCACCGTAGAATCTGTGGCCAAACATTGTGCAATTGCATAATGCTGCATGAATGTTGCATTGGATGACCAGGTGGCTGCTCTATAAATATCACTCAACAGGACTCCTCTGACAAATGCTGCTGAAGTAGCCACTGCTCTCGTAGAGTGGGCTTTTGGAAGAGATTGGAGAGGTCTGTTGCGGATGTTGTGACAAGTGGTAATGCATGTCACTATAAGCTGTGAGATGCACTGGCTGGAACACCCTTGGAACACCCTGAGGTTGTTATTATCAGTCATCCATTTTACGGCAGTCTCGGGTTCTATGAATATAGAAAGAGTGCTCACTGCACATCGAGTGTGTGGAGTAGAGCTTCTCGTGAGGAAGATTGAGACTTCAGGTAGAAGGAGGGAAGTACTATCGGTTCGTTGATGTGAAATTTCGAACAAACTTTAGGGGATAAAGGCCAGGTGTAGATGTAATACAATTGAGTCTCTGGTGAACGATGTAAATGGTGGTGTTGCCAACATAGCAGCCAGCTCGCTAACTCTACGTGCCGATGTGATTGCCAGGAGAAAGAGGACCTTCATCGTGATCATCCTGAAAGAAGTCATAGCTAACGGCTTAAAAT